ACAAAAGAGGCAGGATAGCCAAAACAACCCTGTACAATAAAGGAACTTCAGGAGGCATCACCATCCCTGACTTTAAGCTCTACTACAGAGCTATAGTTCTGAAAACTGCCTGCTATTGGCACAAAAATAGACAAGTAGACCAATGGAATCAAATAGAAAATCCTGATATTAACCCCCACACATACGAACACCTGATTTTTGACAAAACAACTAAAAGTATACAATGAGGGTAGGAAAGCATCTTCAACAAATGGTGCTGGCACAATTGATGATGGTGTGTAGAAGACTGCAGATAGACTCATGTCTATCATCATGTACAAAACCCAATGAAAATTCTAATGCCTTCCTTCACAGAAACAGAAAATCATCTTCATATGGAAGTATAGGAGAAACCCTAACAGCCAAAGCAATCCTGAGTAAAAAGCATATTGTTGGAGCTATTGCTATGCCCATTTTCAAGTTATACCTCAGAGCGATAATTATAAAAAGCGCATGGTATTTACACAAAAGCAGACTCACAGATCTATGCTCTAGAGCAGAGGACCCAGCAACAAGGGCATAAACTACAACCAGCTGGTTTTCAACAAAGACACAAAAGAGAAATCAACTGGAGAAAAGAGCATCTTCAACAAACAGTGCTGGGAAACTGGATAGCTACATGAAGGACAACTAAATTAGATCCTTGTCTCTCACTCTGCAAAAAATCTGCTCTAAGTAGATCATAACCCTCAACATAAGATTGGACCCTGAAAATTTATGAGGAAAAGCAGGGAGTATATTTAAGACAGTAGAATAGGTAAGGACTTTTCGGATCAGATTCTGATTTTCAGCAAATAAGAACAGTAATCAAAAATGGGAGCTCATGAAATAAAAATATTTGGCATAAAAAGAAAATTGTCAGGCAAAGAAAAAAACATCCCACAGAATGGGAGAAAATCTTTGCTAGTTATAAATCTGATAGAGGATTAGCTAGAATGTATAAAGTATTATTTAGGAAAACAAACAACCCAATAAAAATGGGCCATGAAACTGACTGGAGAGTTCTCACAAAAAAAAAAAAAAAAAAAAAAAAGAAGAAGAAAGAAAGAAAAATGGCTAATTAGCATTTGAAAAAGTGTGCAACATTGTTGGTCATTGCAAATTAAAATTACTAAGGGGCTGCGGACTTAATGTCTGTATCCCATTGTGGTACTGCTCTCTATCCTTCCTATTTTTTATGCATTTGAGAGAAAAGTCTCTCTAGTCCGGCTGGTCCCGTGCAGTCCATAGTCAGCTCAGCATCCTCTGAGCAGCCAGAACATCTCTACTGTGCTAATTGCCTTGTCCAGGCTCACTCTGGGTGGAGTGTGAGATGCCTCTGCAAGTCCTGGACAAGCCTGAGTTGCTGAGTTAGATGCCCTGAGCCCTCATGGTGGAAGGGTAAAACCAACTGCACAAGTTGTCCTCTGGCCTTTACATGTACCTGTAAGTTAAATAAGATAAACACTTAAAAAAAAAAAAGAAAGAAAAGTAAAAAGAATTCCAAATGTCCTTAAGGGATTCACATTAATTCTGATTATTATTAATGACTTGAAAATATGTGACTATTAGTTTGCTACATATAATTATGTTGGACATTGAAGAACCTATTTTGTTTACATTATCTGTTAGAATTATGATAATATGTAATCCACATTTTATCATTTTTTGTTAGAAATACAGATTGACAATTAAATAATTAGAATTCAGAATTCCACAATAGTCAAATTATTGATTTATTGGCTTATTTAAATCTAAAAGCTATCACAAGGTGAGGTGTGTAGTTTAGTGATAAAATGCTTGCCTAGCATGTACAAAGCCTGGATTGGAGCCCTAGCCTCACAAATAATAGAATAAACAGGCTATTGTAGAATTAACTATTTGTTTAAAATTTACATATTTGTGTTCTTTATTTTGTTTGTTTTTTATTTATTTTATATAATATTTGTGTTCTTTATAGTAAAATTAAAATGGTCATAATATCAGAACATTATTTGGAGATTACCCCTTATTCCATTCCCAAAGGCCAAGATAAAACAAAACAAAACAAATGACAGTGAATCCTGTGAAGGATATGAGGAAAGAATAAAACTTATCCATGGTCAGTAGCTGTGGGTGAGGTGAGTTTGAACTAGCTTTTGAATATATCTCTCTAAGGAGAACTTTGGCATCTTCAGTCACTGTGTCAAGGAAAAGAAGTTGTAGGTAAAAGGTTTTCCTCAAGTAAAAGCCTGTAGCAAGGAGCCCACCATTAGCTGAGACACATTTCTCCAAATAGTTCAAAAGGTTTTCCTCTAATGTTTTCCCTTCCTTAGTTTCCAACAAATAAGGAGATTTCATGATTTTTTTCAGTTGTTCAACAGGCACTTGGAAATCCTTGGCTATGAACTCCAGGGATTCATCATCCACTCCGAAGACGAACCGATAGTAGTTTAACTTCACCTTCATCTTCTCCACATCACCCATGAGGATGCCCACTGCAGGAACAGTAGCCAGAATTCCATCCTTGATGGCTTCCAACCAGACAGTCTGCTGCATAGACTTGTGCTTTCTGTCAATGGCTGCCTCTGTAACGTTAGACATGGAAAGCATAAAACTGTGGCGCTTTTGAGCAGGAAGATCCTTTATCAGGGTGTCCATCAGGACCGGAAAATCATACAAAGATAAATATTGGTTAGAAACCAAGAAAATCTGCTGTATATCCATGTTATTCTGAATAAAGTTATTCATATAGTAGCTTCTGATCTTCTCCAGGATCTTTTCTCTGTCAAATGTACGTGGTTTGGTCTTTTTTTCATTTTCTAAATCAATGTCTATCTTGGTTCTCACAAAGTAGTAATTCTTTTTCATAAATCTGATTGCTTTGGCAAGTTCTAGTTCATGCTTTGTAAAACGTGTGGCAGAAACAATAATGAAGAAGTCATACTTTTGGAATTTCACTTCCTTCAGGTAAGTTTTTGGAGGAAACTTTATAGTTCCAATGCCAGGCAGGTCCCATAATGTCAAAGTTTTGATTTTGGGGTGATTGTATGCAGTTATCTTCATAGTTGTCTCTATTACCCCAACTTCAGCAGCACTTTTGTCTTCAGATCTAACCCCCCTCAGGGCATTGATGAAGCTGGACTTCCCTGCTCCGGACTCTCCAATCACAGCAATATTTATTGTGGACTCATCAATATTTTTTAATGCAGCCCTGATTTCAGAGCTTGTCCCATGAGTGTCTCCTTTTCTCAGGTGTAACTCAATTGCATCGATGGTATCCTGAGGAATGATTGTGTTTTCTGTCTTTATGTTCTTAAAATATTCAGTGAAGCTGGACTCCAAATCTCCATAGTCTTTTTTCTTAGCTGCAACAGAGGAGGCCTGACCCATGGCTGTGTTGGAAGGGGGCCCTGAAAGTAGGAAGAGAGAGTGAGTTTTAAGAGACTGAAGATACCTTTGTGCTTAGCACTGTGTTATTTATGCTGCAGCCTCAGTTATGTTCTGATGTTAACTAGTTTCCATGTATTTATGCTTAATGCTTTTTTTTGTCAACATGATACAAGTTATAATCCTTCTGGAGGAGAAATCCTTATCTGAGAAATTGTCTTCATCAGATTGGACTGGGGGCTTGCCTATGGGGCTTTTTCTATATTGATGATTGACGATTTTATATTGATGTGGGAGGTCCCAGTCCACTGTGGGTGGAATGCTCCTGGGCAGGTGGTCCTGGGTAAGTTAAGAAAGCATTATTGAAGTGTAGCTGGAGTTTTTCATTGGGAACACCAGTTCCACAATTATGACATGAAGACATTACTAATTATAAAAGCTCAGGCAATAGCTTAGGAATGTTTCTAATTAGCTCTTAGAAATTAAATTACCCCAGATTTTTTACCTACATTCTTTTATGTGGCTCAGTTACCTTTACTTTGTATGGAAGTGCTTCTTCCTCTTTGACTGTTGGCGTCTCTGCTTTTCTTTCTCCTGGAGTTCTCTGTGTGGCTGTCTTGCCTATCTCTCCTGCATAGATAATGAAAGTTTAGCTTTTTATTAAATGATCCGAAGGTGCCTTGCGATGACTCATTTTCATATTTTACAAAAGATTATTCCACAACATTGAACTATGTCGGGCATGGTAGTAACCAGCATTCTCCCATTTTCCCTTCCTCTACTCCCGCAGTTTCTTCCCTGATTCCCCCACTGGTGGACTGTGATCGGAAATCAGAACATTTAAGTTCACAAAACTGTTTTGTTTTTTCAAAATTCTTTGTTCATTGTGCTTATAAAAACAATAGAAAGGAAACTAGAGCAAATTTCTACTATCTTTCAATTAAACCCTTCAGTGTGGAAAGTGTGGAAGTAAAGCAAGGGAAAATAATATAAAATATCTGAATGTGTCCTTTAGCCAGCATCAACAACTACAAAAGCATGGGTATTACATGTGAAATCAAATGTGTTCTCCATCTGTCCTTACGTGGATGCCTTTAAATGAATGGAAACTTAGTCAACATATGCCTAGTTTTACACACGGAAAAATATATAGCAATGAATTACAGTTGACATCAGTGTTTAATCAATGCCAAATCTCTCATGATCACATAAATCTAATTAATTTTATTTTTGTTTTCAAAAGATTTCAGTAAGTTCAGCTACTAAGTTTTGTTGAAATAATTTCATATTTGCCTAGATTTACTTTCCTTATGTACTTTTTTCATTATTTGGATCTCATCTCCATGAAGTCTATAAAGCTTTCAGTGCAGAATTCTACCAGAAATTCAATGAAGAGCTAATACCAATACTCCTCAAAGTGTTCCACACAATAGAAGCAGGAGGGTCATTGCCAAACTCTTTTTATGAGTCTACAACTACCTTGATACCTAAGCCACACAAACACACAACTAAGAAAGAGAAGCATTAACATTGATGCAAAAATACTCAATAAAATACTGGCAAATCGAATCCAAGAATACATCAGAGAAATCATCCTTCATGACCAAGTAGGCTTCATCCCAAGAATGCAGGGATGGGTCAACATATGAAAATCTATCAATGTAATTCATCTTATAAACAAACTGAAAAAGTAAAACCGTATGATCACCTCAGTAGATGCTGAAAAAGCCTTCAACAAAATCCAACATCCCTTCATGACAAAGGTCTTGGAGAGATCAGGGATAACAGGAACATACTTAAAATAATAAAATAAAGCTGGGTACAGAATTAAATAGAGAATTCTCAATAGAGCAATCTAAAATGGATGAAAGATATTTTGAAAGTGCTTAACATCCTTAGCCATCAGGGAATTGCAAATCAAAACAATTCTGATATACAATCTTACTCTTGTCAGAATGGCTAAAATCAGAAACACAATGACAGTTTTTGCTGGAGAGGATGTGGAGAAATGGGTACACCCTTCTACTACTGGTGGGAGTAGAAACTCATATAGCCACTTTGGAAATCAGTATGGTGGTTCCTCAGCAAAAATGGCAATCATTCTACCTCAAGGTCCAGTAATTTCACTCTCAGGCATATACCCAAAAGATGCACATTCATACAACAAGGACATCTGTTCAACCATGTTCATAGCAGCATTATATGCAATATCTAGAACCTAGAAGCAACCTAAATATCCCTCAACTAAAGAATGGATGGAGAAAATGTGGCATATTTACACAATGGAGTACTACTCAGCAGAAAAACAAACAAACAATGGAATCTTCAAATTTGCAGGCAAATGGATGGAACTAGAGGAAATCATCCTGAGTGAGGTAACCCAGTCACAAGAAGACAAACATGGTATGTACTCATTCACACATGGATTTTAGACATAGAGCAAAGGATTACCAGCCTACAATCCATAACTCCTGAAACTCTAATAAACAAGGAGGACTCTAAGGGAGACATACATGGTCCCCCAAGGAGAGGAAAGGGACGCGATCTGAAGAACAAATTGGGAGCATGAAGGAGGGGGAGTTAGGAGAAAAGAGGAGAAGAAGAGGAGGAGGAGGTGGGCATAAGTGAGTAGGAAGATTGAGTCAGGGAAAGAATAGAGGAGAGCAAGAAAAGAGATACCATAATAGAGGGAGCCACTATAGGTTTAAAGAGAAATCTGGCACTGGGGAAATGTCCAGAGATCTACAAGGATGACCCCAACTAACAATCTAAGCAATAGTGGAGAGGCTACCTTAAATGTTCTTCTCTGATAGTGAGATTGATGACTACCTTGTGTGCCACCCTAGAGCTTTCATCTAGTAGCTGATTGAAGCAGAAGCAGACACCCATAGTTAAATACTAAGCTGCACTCCTGGAATCCAGTTGCGGAGAGGGAGGATGGATGAGCAAAATGTTCAAGATCAAGCTGGAGAAACGCTCAGAAACTGCTGAGCTGAACAAGGGGGAGCTCATGACCTCTCGTCTGATAGCTTGGAAATCAGCATAGAACTGACCCAAATTCCCTGAATGTGGTGTTGGTTGGGAGGACTGGGCAGTCTATGCGGCCTCTGGCAGTGGATCAGTATTTATCCCTAGTGTACGACTGGACTTTGGGAGCCCATTCCACATAGAGGGATACTCCCTCAGCCTAGACACATGGGGGAGGGCCTCTGCCCTGCCCCAAATGATATGACAGACTTTGAAGACTCCCCATGGTAGGCCTCACTCTGTCTGGGGAGTAGAAAGGGGATGAGGTTTTGTGTGTTGGGGGGGCAGAGGAAGATGGGAGGGTGAGGGAACTTTGATTGCCATGTAAAACAAGTTTGCTTCAAATTTTAATTAAAAAAATTATAAAAAAACACTCGATCTTAGCCAAAAGGCCCTTCCCTGATAATGAGATCAACAACCAACTTATCCACCGTCATGGAGCACTCATCTAGTAGCTGATGGAAACAGAAGCAAACACCCACAACTAAACACTGAGCTTAACTGGAATCCAGATGTAGAGAGGGAGGACAAGACCAGGCTGCAGAAACACGTAGAGACAGCTGACCTGAACAAGGAGGAGCTAATGGGCCCCCAGACTGATATCCAGGAATCCAGTATGTGACTGACTCAGACCCCCTGAATATGGGTCTCAGCTAGAAGGACTGAACAGTCTAAGGGACCTCAGACAGTGGAACCAGGATGTATTCCTGGTGCACAAAACAAAACAAAACAAAACAAAAAACCTTGCAGGCACATCCCCCATGGAGGGATACTGCCTTAACCTAGAGATAGGAGAGAAGTCCTAGTCCCTACTCCAAATGACTTGACAGATTTAGATGACCCACCTGGAGGGCATCACTCTACATGTAGAGTGGGGGGGAGGAAGAGAAGGGTGGTAGGGGGCATGAGAGGGTTGGAGAGAGGGAAAGAGGGAGGGAGAGGGAATTGGGATTGATTAAAATTAAAAAAATTATAATTTTTTTTAAAAAAGTTCTTTACCCTTAAAGTCCATGTTCAAATGCATTTCTTCAGTACAACATTTCAGTGTTCTCAAGTAATTATTTAGATTCATCATTTTCTTTTAAATGTTTCATTTTATGAAAGCAATCTAACTGTGTACTGGATACATTGTTCAGTTGGTAGAGAGTTTACCTAACATGAAGAAGGCCTTGGGTTCAATCCCCAACACCTCATCAAATGCAGCTGCTTGTGGATCCCTGTAATACTGGTAGTCAGGAAGTAGGGCTAAGAGGATCAGTACTTCCAATCATCCTTGGTACACAGTGAGTTAGAGGCTAGCCTGGGCTACTTGAGACCCTGTGTCCAAGAAAAAATGATTTAGTTCAGTAAGATTATTCAGCAGGGAAAAACACTTGTTGACCGGGTTAAGGACCTGAGTTTAATTGTTGGGTGCTTAGCTCAGCTCTCATATTTCTGCCCATTTTTCTCTACAAACATGCCTCCAAGGCCTTGCCAGGCAGCACAATGGACCTCACTATTTGTTAAAGAGACAGGAAATCCCCAGTCACCCAGGAGCCTCCTCTGTCTCACTCATATCAAATTAGTTCACCGAGTTAAGCTCTGTTTTCAAATCCACTCAAAACTGATCACTCTTATGTTATCTTCTTCAGGTTCTCCTCAATTCCAGCTTTGATTATGTCATGGACATTATTATAGTCCCTGTGATTGTTCTTAAAGCAACATGGATGATCGAACAGCCAGAGTTATGACACTGAAGTCATATCATGTCCCATCAGTCCTGAGAGACACCACAAGGATTCCTGTTTTAGTCCAGAACATTCCTTAGATATACCGTGAAAACACTACAGACAATAAACATTTGAACTTTATTATTACCTGCTTGAAGCCAATGGTGTCTCAATTCCAGCCTCCCTGTTATCTCAGGACTTTGCACTATGCGACTGTTTCCATTCTCTGTGCTCTCCCCAGGTAGCCACAGGGCTATTAATCACCATTCTCTAGGTGTGCATCAATTAGGCAGGTTTCAGGGTTCATATTCACACTAGGGTGTAAATATGTACCGGCCTCTATCATTCACCATCCTTTCTTTAAGTTTCAGTGTCTCCGCAGCACTTGCTGTGCCATAGTGTGTCTTTACCTAGATTCATTTATTGTCACCCTTCCACAGTATAATAAAGCTCAGGTAACAGAAAGTGCATTTGTCTTACTCGCCTCTTCACCACAAGCACAAGGATATGTCATTAGGCAATGAATGAGGGTATGAGGAAAACGCTAGGACTTTATGAGAATATCTGTGCCTGTTGTATAGCTTTCCCTGGTCCGTAGATTATTGGAGATCTAGTACATTCATAAACAGTGGGTGCTGAGGGTCTGGGGAGAGCACAAAAACAGTCTAAAAAAAAAAAAGGTGTCATCAGAATGCTACTGTGAAATAGCACCAGCACACACAGACTCACTGCACAGGAAGACCCTGTCTACGCCATAGGACAGATGGGGACAGCTGTGCACGAAACCAGAGCTGCAAACTGACTGCAGACACAGGACGGGAAGGGGTGGGTAAAGAGAATGTTCTAAAAGGGAAGCTAGAGAAGCTAAACAGATTTCCTGTTGAAGGGGACAGGCACCCTCAGGCCACAGATACATGTCCTTGAAAGCACAAATGCTGTTCTTATCTTTTCAGGTTTCCCTATCCTTCTTTCAGTTCTAGCTCCCAGATTTTTGATGCAGACTCCAGTGTGATAGCTGTCTGCAAGATCTTTCCACTGAATATGAACACAGAGAACCAGAAGGCTGTGACATACCAAGCATTTCAAAAGGAAACCTGTCTAAATGACAGCTGTCACCACATCCTGACACAGCTCATGTTTCTCACAGATGGAGAGAAGATCCTTAGCACGCCTGCTTTACAGTAAACAAAACCACAGGTTTCCACAGCCAGCTACAGCAGAAGTAGCATGCAGAGAGAACTCTTCCCCACAACCCAGAGGCCTTGAAATGTAAGGAACTGAACAAGTGACTCTGAACTGAGCAGTATTTGGAGGTAAAACACAAACCTCATACACATTGCAGAGATATTCCATTACCTGAGTCATCTGTTTACAACCCTTTTAGGGAGAGATAAGCCAAAACAACTGGATGTGTTTTGTCAAAACCAATATCAGCATCATTTGGCTTTAGGTCTATCTCAACTTGGGTACTTGGCTAAGTCCATCCACAAGGCCTCCCACCAAAGCTCCAGAGCTTCCAAGCTGATGATCCCCACTCTCAGGCATGTTCCTAAATTACCTCTCAGCTCTTATGAGAAAAGAGATTGCGAGGGTTTGAAGGAATGCTCCTGCCTTACCAGAAAGTCCTGTGTCTGGTGTTTGTGTTCACTGAAGTTCAGCTGCAGGAACCACACTCCACTGTGCTCCGGTCTCTTCACATGAAGCCACCTCTGTTTCTTAGTGGAAATGCAGCAGACTGAAGGCAGTTGGGCAGGATTTGTACACTTCTGTGTGTACTCCCCTTCCTTCTAAGTGTGTGCTGGCCAATCAGTAAAGCTCATGAATCTCGTTGATTTTCAGAATTTCTTGCATTTCCAAGAAGAAGAAAGAGAAACCAAAACTATCAGCTGTTTCTCATTCTATTATCTCTTCATTTCTTGGCAGTAAATGCTGGATAGTCCTAAAATCATAAAGTAACGGAAGGTGGAGTTTGGAAATTGAGGGGGAACACAAAGGAACAACTTACTAAATAGGCAGGAATACAATTCTTGAATGCTAATTTTTCTGATTCCCGATTTCATAAGTGCTGCCTGAACTGGTCACACAACCCATTGTCTGGGATCCTGTGCAGATGCCAAATTTAGTGTCATCCAAGACACAGCTCATTTTACTTCCCCCTGACTACAGCCTTATTTTCTCATGATTGTACATTCATGTTCATTAGTTCTTATTCTCAGCTCCTCTGTCTATGCTGGTTTTCAGCAGATCTTGGGCTTGACAGGTCTTACAGGTGCTGTCACAACCATGGTGAGTTAATATGTGGAACTGCCCTGCAGTGTCCAGAAGACACTGTTTCCCTGTCGTCATCCACCAACTCTGGCTCTTACAGTCTTTTCAGGCCTGCTTCCACAACCATTCCTGTGCCTTTGGAGGTAGAATCGATATATCCAAGTTAGACCAAATATTCTTCCATGTCCTAGTATCTGCTTGTTTGCTAGTCATGTGTCTGTGGACTGATGATCATCTACTGCAAACACAAGCTTCCATAAGTGTTGAGAGATGCCTTATTCTGAGGGTATAATGATAGCTCTTTAGAAAATGGCTTAATATTATGTCAATTTAGCAGGATAGTAATAATAACTCTCACCTAGGGACTATGATCTGTGTAGCCTTAGGTTCTTGTGCATATACAGTTTTCATCTTGTGAAGACACTATTAAATCCAGTCAGTAAGCGGTTGGTTCCTCCCAGGACATTTTTGCCACAATTACATGGGTAGGTTTATCTTGTCTGGCCAGTTATTATTGTACCTTACAGAATTCACAGTTCATTATGATTAATGATTACTCCCCCCCCCAAACCTGTTATTGTGGATAGAGGTTTCCAGCTTCACGAAAGCCAGAAGGGATGAAACTTCTGACCAGTATCAGCTTGATTTCTCTATGTTCTCTAAGTCAAGTATATGGTGTCTTCAATAATAGGTTCTCACCATCAAGTTCTGTAAGGTACACAAGAGCACTGACAATGGCCTGTAATGTTTAGGAATCTCCCTGGAGAACACCTAAAAAATCAATTAAATCCTTGGGACTGGGTTTTTTTATTTGTTACTCTGTGGCAAGGATATTGTCCTAGTAGAGGGCAACTCCATATCAACTCCTTTTATATATGTGCATGGTTTATTTTAAGAAATGTAGTGGTAGCTTTTCATATGACTTGCTCAAATTCCTTCAGCATTCATTATTTCTCCCATTTTCCTTCCTCTACCTTATGCTCTATCTCCTTAATCCCCATTTTAACCTTTCTTGAGTCATAATTTTCTTTTGCCCTTTCTACCACTGTATACTATTTCTCCTATCTTGGTGGTCCTATCCCATGGCCACATAGTAATTTTAAACCTCTATGGGTATTCCAAATTGAACACAGATATTTGAAGAGTGAGCACTAACATCTACAAATGAGAGGAACAAAACGATGTTCATGTTTCTGGGTCTGTGTTACCTCACTCAGCATGATACTTCCAGCTCCATCCATTTTCCCATGAATTTTGTGGTTTTAGTTTCCTTAACAGACTAGAAATATTCCATTCTGTAATGGTGCCACATTGTCATTATCCTTTCCTCATGTGATGGTTGTTTAGACTGTTCCCATTTCCCGGATACTGTGGATAGAGCATGAATGACTACGGATGCACAGGTAGTTCTGTTGTTGGATATAGAGTTCTTTGTGAATATGTGCTGGGGTGACACAAGTGGACCTTGTGTGAAATCTATTTTCCCTTCTGGAATTTGTGCTTATCTTAAAATGTTCTTAATTTTCTGCCAAATTTAAAAGATAGCTTTGTAGATATAGCAAAATTAACTGGCAATTATGTATATTTAGTGTTTGAAATATATTATTCCACATTTTCTGTCATTTATGGTTGCTAATGAGAGATTTGATGTAATTTTGATATGTTTTTCTTTTTTAATTGGGACTTTTCTTTACAGCTTTTAATATGTTTTTTATGCATTCATTTTTACTTTTTTTTGTATGGCTTTGTTACAACAATTTTCTCTTTTTGGGAGGATCAAGCAATGTCTACCCTCTCCTTATAAAGTCTCAATAAAAAAATGAAGTTTGATTCCACCAAAGTTCACCTTGAAAGAAAATTTCACCTAAGTGGCAAGATACAAGGTTAATACACGCACGCGCGCGCGCGCGCGCGCGCGCGCACACACACACACACACACACACACAGAGCGATAATAAAAAGAGCATGGTATTTACACAAAAGAAGACTCACAGATCTATGCTATAGAGTAGAGGACCCAGCAACAAGGGCATAAACAACAACCTTCTAATTTTCCATAAAGCACAAAAGAAAAGTTAAATGGAGAAAAGAACATCTTCAACACACAGTGCTGGGAGACTGGACAGCTACATGTAGAAGAACAAAATTAGATTCTTATCTCTCATTGTGCACAAAAACCTACTCCATGTGGACTAAGGACCTCAACATAAGATGCCTTTGTGCTTAACACTGTGTCCTTTATGCTGCAGCCTCAGTTATATTATGATGCTTTTTAGTTTCCATATGTATTGTGCTTGTTATTTTATGTCAACAAGACACAAATTAGGTTCTTCTTGGAAGAGGAAATCTCAGTTGAAAAATCAAGCTGATGGAGGGCATGCCTATTGGCCAGTTTCTTGACTGAGGATTGATGAGGGAGTTCCCAGCCACTGTGGGTGGTACCATTCCTGGGCAGGTGGTTCTGGGTTGTATAATAATGCAAACAGTCTAATTATGGGGAACAAGTCCATAAGCAGCACTCTCCCCTTGTTCATGCCTCTGCTCCTGCTTGAGTCTTTCCCCTATCTTCCCTCCACTGTGGATTGTGATCAGAGGCGGTGTGTAAGCTCCCCAAACTCTTTTCCCCTGGAATGCTTTTGGTCATGCTATTTATCACAGCAATAGAAAACCAACCAGGACAGGTATCTACTATCTCTACTAAACCCTTAATTATGGAAAAATAAAACTTAAGTATAATTAGGGAAAATAATACAAAAATCTGCATAAGCCCTTTAGCCAGTGTTATTAGCAATTATCATAACACAAAAAAACTGTCTTTCATCTACCCTGACTGGAGTCTTCTCCATCTGTGCACACTTCCTTTAGTGTGTGCCTTCAAATTACTGAGAACTTAATCAACATGTGCCTAGTTTCTCAAAGTGAAAAATAAGTAAAAATGAAAAATAATTGACAGCTATGCTTAAGCAATGCAAAATCTCTAAAGATCACATATGATCTTTGTTTTATTTTTGTTTTCAAATGATGTCAGTTATTCCAGCTATTGTATTTGGTTGAAATCATTTCTAATTTGTCTAGTTTTATTTTCTTTCTGTCTTTATTATGACTTGGGACTCATCTCCTTGAGGAATAGAAACTTGCAAAAATATAAACTTCTTACTGTTAAAGTCCATGTTAGAATATAATATTTCAGTGTCCTTAAGTCATCATTTATATTTACAATTTTCTTTTAAATCTTTTATATAATGGACTGTGTGTAAAATATTTCTTTACTTGTATTTTTGTATCCATGTGGAGAGGCATTCAGTCAAGGTCAGATTTTGTCCTTTATTGTTCTCTACCTCATTGATTTGAGTCAGGCTGTCTCACAAATCTTGAGTATCTGGAAATCTACCTAGGGCTGGGGTTACAGATGCATGCCACTGTGTTTGGTTTTTATGTTTCTAAATCTATGCCCACTTTGGTTCTCACAAAGTAGACATCCTTCTTCATCATGCTGACTGCTTTGGCAGTTTTCTTAAATCGTGTGGCAGAAACAATGATGAAGAAGTCATACTTGTGGAATTTAATTTTCTCCAGATTTTGTGCTTCCAATGCCAGGCATGTCTCAAATCACCACATTCAGAATATTGGGGGTGTTTGTATGGCTATCTCTCCATGGTAATTTCTACCACTCCATGTCCAACCCCCCTCAGGGCATTGATGAAGCTGGATTTCCCTGCTCCAGTCTCCCTGGTCACAGCGACGTTGAGTGGGGTGTTACTAATTTCTATTAATGGATCAGTAATTACAGCATTTTCTTTCTGAAAGTTTCCTTGTGCCAGATGTAACTCAAGTAAAATGACGGTTTCCTGAAGAAGGATTCTATTTTCTGCCATAATCATCCTATAATGTTTAATGAAACTGGGTCACATGTCTTCATTCTTAGATGTATGAGAGAACAGCTGACCCATGGCAGTAAGCAAATAAAGGCACTGGAAGGAAGAAGGGAGAGTAGGTTGTGAGAGACTGATGCCACAGGGACCACTTAGTCTTTTGCTCTCTCTGAAGCACTTAGTCCTTCCTGATGACTTTTATGTTCTGATGGGGACTAATTCTTATGCATTTCTACTTTCTCTCAGTTAAGTCTTTTATGATGGAAAATTAATAAATCAACCAAAGTAAGAGTATTCATGTAACCATCTGCATGTGCCCCTTACTAGCTTCAACTACTTTAGAAACCAGAGCAACCCTGTTGCATCTAATTTGACGGGAGTTTTCCAGGGCAATCCAAGATGTTCTTTCACCCATGCACATTTCCTTCAGTATGTGACTTCAAAGTATGGGGAATTTTAAGTAACATAAGTGTAATTTCTCAAACCAAGAAGCAAATAGTAATTGTCATCTATGCCATCAATGTCAGATTTTGCTAACAGTCACACAAAACTTGAGTTTATACTTTTAGTTTCAGCCATTTGATTTAGATGCCATTATTATTAATTTTCATTGATTTGCTTTCTTTGTTTCTTTTCCATAACTTAGAACCCATCTCTTTGAGTAATGAAAACTTATAATAATAATACAAAGCTTCTTCATGCTTAAAGTTCATATTAAAATCCATTTACTCAATGAA